CGCCGCCCCGGGCCCCGACACGGCCACCTCGACCCGTGCGGGGGTGGCGGGCCCCGAGCCGGCCCGGCCGAGCGCCAGCAGCGGGGCGAGCAGAGCCGCCCGCACCGCCGCCATGGCTGCGCGCCCCGCGCCCCGCAGCGCCCCCTGCCGGAGAGGAGGACCCGCACCACCCACCGCCCGCAGGGGGCGCCCGAGAGCACAACTGGGAACGGGACAAGGGACAGGGACAAGGGACAAGGGACAGGGATCGGGACAAGGGTCGGATTAGGCATCAGGAGAAGGGTTGGGATAAGGATCGGGATAAGGACACGGACAGGTGATGGGATAGGGATCAGGACAAGGGTCGGGATAAGGACACGGACAGGTGACGGGACAAGGACAGCGATTGGGACAAGGGTCAGGATAACGGCAGGGACAGGGATTGGGATGGGGAACAGGACAGAGTTCAGGACAAGAGTTGGGATAATGACAGAGACCGGGGATAGGATGGGGAGCAGGACAAGGGTCAGGATAACRGCAGGGACAGGGGATGGGATRGGGATCAGGACAGGGATCGGAACAAGGGTTGGGATAACAACATAGACGGGACGGGATGGGGATTGGGACAGGGATCGGTACAAGGGCCAAAATAAACACAGTGACTGGGATGGGGACTGGGACAAGGGTTGGGATAAGGACCGGGACAGGTACCAGTGCCAGGCGGCAGCAGCAGCGGGACAGGGACAGGGATGGACACAGGGACCAGGAAACCAACTGTCCCAACTGTCACCAGGACAGTGACAGGGACAGGAACAGGCATGGAGACATAGACATCACATCCATTTCATCCCCATGTGAGAATACAGGGACACATGGGGACACAGGGACACTCTGGGGGACAMAGYCTGGGGGAAGAGGAACRTGGCAGCTCTGCACACACRGGCACCCCACCTATGCACCCACAGCCATGGCACTGGCAGGGACACGGGCACACGCCCCACCCCGGGGGACACGGGCACGCCTGGGTGACATGAACACACCTGGGTGACATGAACACAGCTGGGTGACATGAACACACCTGGATGACACAGACACACTTGGGACACTCGGACACACACGAACACCTGAGTACCCCAAAACCCAACCGCCCCCTGCACCCCGTATCCTGGCAGGTGCCAGTGCCACATCCTGACTCCTTGGGGACACATCCCAAGCCAGGGGGCCACATCCCGGCCCTGCTCCGGCCACGTGTGCCCGGTACATGTGCTGCCGGAGGATTTGCCAGCTGGATTAGCCGCGGCACRGGCCCAGGCTGACCTGCTTTGGGCAGGGGCCACGTTGGGGACAGGACTCAGGGCCGTGGGACCCATTTCCCACGGCCGCAGGATGYCAMAGGAYRTGTCTGGGTGTGTCCCCAYATCCCAGTGTCCCCACTGGTGTCGTAAGTGTGGGGTTTAATGACAGGATGGGCACAGTCCCTCCTCCCACGGCCGCAGCCGGAGCAGGTTTAACCACACGGTGAAATATCCTGATTGCAACGGGTCTGGATGTGCCACGAACAACAGCCCCGAGCACCGAGCACGGYTGGCTCAGGAACGTGCCATAAACAACAGCCTGGAACGGCAAGCATGGCTGTGTGGGACTGTACCTGCTCATGGGGACACCAAAACAGGGCCTGGCAGTGGCTGCTGCCCAAACTGCCCCATGGAGGGGACACCTGTGGGGTGTGAATGGCTCCSTGGAGCATCCTGAGGTTTGTGGGATGTGGATGGCTTCCCAAACAGCTCCAGGGAACACAGAACGTGGGTGGCTCCATGGGACATCTCTGGGTCCCAGTTCCAAGGGACTCTGTGGCACATAAATGGCTCCTTGGGACATGGGACAGCCCCACAGGGCACGGATGGTTCTGTGGGACAGCCACAGATCTGTGGGACCACCCAGCCCTGTGGGACACCCATAGCCCCAAGGGATGTGTACAGTTTCATGGGACATGGATGCTTCCATGGGATGTCTACAATTCCTTGSGATATCCATGGTTGACTTTGTAGGACACCCATGGGACATCCACAGCTCCATGGGACACAAGCAGCCCCAAAGCATCCCAGCCCTAATCCCTGCCTTCCAGCCCTTGAGTCTGAGCCCTCCCTCTGTCCCCTGTCCCCATGTCCCATCCCTGTCCCCTCTCGCTGCCCCCTGCACTCTCACCCTGTTCCTGCCCCACTTTCCATCCCTGTTCCCACCTGTCTCCCATCCCCACCTCCCATCCCCATCACTGCCCCCTTCTACTGCCACCTGTCCCACATCACCATCTCCCACCCCATAGCCACATGTCCCCCATTTCCCTCCATACCCCCATGTCCTTCTGCATCTCCTACCCCACTGTGTCCCCCAAACTGTCATAGGGCCCCAACCTCCTGTACCCTTCATAACCCCCAGAGCCCCCTACCCTCATCTCTCCCTTGCCTTCCTGTGCCCCATATCCCCTGTTCCTCATATTCCCCATGCACCCATACCCTACACATCCCCTATTKCCCCCACAGCCCTATAACCTCCATAAGCCCCATACCCCCAAACTCTCTGTGCCCCATAYCCGCAGTAGCCCCTCTATTCCCCATACCCCCTAAGCCTCCCCATGCCCCCATATCCCCTATAGACCCCATACCCCCCCAAGTCCCCCCATACTGCCCCACAGTCCCCAAGCCCCCTGTGTCCCCATATCCCCTATGCCCCCATCACCCGCGCACCCCCATCCCCGATCCCGGGGCGGCGGCGGGCGCTGACCGGGCGGGCAGGGGTCGGGCAGGGTCCAAGGCCACGGGGGTGGGCGGGGGGCCGGACTGGGCCGGGCCGGGCGGGGCGGGGGCGGTCCCGGGGAGGTTCTCGGAGCCTTCACGGCCGCCGGGGCCGGGCAGAGCCGCCCGCAGCGCACCATGAGCGGCCACGTCGGGGACCTGAGCCCGCGGCAGGCGGAGGTGCTGGCCCAGGTGAGCCGGGACGGGGGATMGGGGAGACCGGGGGGCTGCGGGGGTACCGGGGCCAGCGCGGGGCTGAGCCTTCCCGATGCGCTCCCGCATCCGCCGCAGGACCGGCATCACCCCCACCCCGCACCCCAAACTCACGGCAGCACTTCTGCTTCCGGCCCCGAGGGGCTGCGCATCCCCCATGGCCCCCCAAACCTGCCGGCATCACCCCGACCCCGGGCTCCGGGGGCTCCCACCGCCTCCTCCAACCCCCCCATCCGAACTCCAAACCCACCGGCATCACCCCGCTCCGGGCTCCGGGGGGGTCCGGACCTCAAACCCACCGCCTTCACCCCCATTCCCGGCCCCGGGGAGGTCCCATCGCCTTCAGCCCCCACCCCGCCCCCCAAATCCGGCCCCAGGTGGCTCCCCCTGCCTCCACTCCTCATCCTGGACCCCAAATCCGCGGGCTGAGCCCCATTGTGACACTGCGCACCAGGGCAGAACAGTGCCGGGTGAGTTCTGGTGGTCCCTCATCCTTCCCCGGGACTGGGGAACTCCTGCCTCACTGCAGGGCCCATGGGACGAGGGTCTTTTGTCACCTCCATCCCACGCTGGACCCCAAACCCCCGAGCTGAGCCCTCCGTCGTGCTGCCCACCAGGGACGGACCATCCCGGGTGTCCCACCAGACCGGGCACTGCGGAGCCCCGTATCCCTCTCCCACCGTTCCCATGGATTTGGAAAACTTCCTCCCCCCACCGCGGGGTCTGTGGGGGCGGGGACACCCGGACCCGGTGACTGTCACCCACCCCGGCCACCTCGGCCACCCCCTGGTGTTTGGGTGCCAGCCGTTATCGGGGTTCAGCGCACCCCAACCACGAGGGCACCCCCGTGCCTTTATCTTATCGCTGCCTTTCGGACCCAGCCAAATTCCACGGGCGGGCGATGACCCCGCCGGGTGCCGGCACGGGGGGCAGGGGCAGGCGTGGGGCACAGAGCCCAAAGTGTGCCCCGTGCCAGCCGTGCCCCGGGCAGGCGAGCGGCCGAACCCGTTCGTCCACCACCGCCGGGTTTGTCCCAGGGTGAGGGAGCTAATCCCGGGTTTAATTACCCCTAAATTCAGCAGGAGATAAGCTAATCAGGCTCATTAAGGGGAGGGCCTCGGCTGGTACGGAGATTTGGGCCGTAGCCTGGTTTGGGCGAGCGGGGCCACACGGACAGCGGACCCTGGATCCCCCAAACCTCCCAGTCCTGCACCCCAACATCCTCCTACTTGTGCTGGGGGACTGTGACACACTGGGGGGTCACAAAGAGCAGGGGACACAGTAACCGGCTCCATCCTAAAGGATGCCTCTGGTGGGSACTCCTCTGCTTGGTCTCTCCCCGAGGGGACCCCAACTCCCCCACTGCTGCACCCCAAAACCCTTCTGCCTATGCTAGGGGGCTGTGATCCATTGGGGTGTCACAGGAGCAGGGGGACACGCAGTGATGTGCTGGTGACATCACCCCAAGGATGCCACTGGGGGGGACTGGTCTGCCTGCTCTCTGCAGGTCCCTCTCCACTTTCTCAAACCCCCCAGTCCTGCCCCTGCTGGGGGACTGTGACCCACTGGAGTGTCACTGGAGCAGGGGACACACGGTGACCGGCTCCATCCATCTCAGAGGATGCCACCGGAGGGGACTGGTTCACCCAGTCCCTGTGGGACTTCCCAGGAGAAGCAGAGTGGTGACAGCCCCCACTCACATCTTGTGCAAGGGCTTGGGCACACCTTGTGCTTGGGTACACCCAGAGCATGGCAGCCAGCCTCGGGACAGTCCCCTGCCAGGTGACCACTGATCCAGGCTGCACATGGGGCAGGGACAGGGCACAGAGTGACCCTTCTCCCTGGGAATGTCCCAGTCCTGGCTGGGATGTTTCTGGGGGAACAAGGAAGGGACAAAGCTCCAGCCTTGAGGTTTCTGGAGAGGAATCAGGGATCCCTTCACCAACTGTCCCTCTYGTTCCTGCAGTTCCGGGAGAAGCTAAAGGATGTGCTGCCCTCCCTGCCTGCCCAGGACGACTATTTCCTGCTGAAATGGCTCCGAGGTAACCCCATTTGGGGACAGCCCTGCTGGGTGGGATCCTCGGGGGCTGGCGGGGGCTGAGCTCTCTGCTCTCTTGCAGCACGCGCCTTCGATCTGCCCAARGCCGAGGCGATGCTCCGCAAGGTGAGAGGGGCACTCGCTTTGGGGGGGACCCTGCTGTGGGACAGTGCCCTGGGCCACTGGCTCAAACAAAGGTGACCTGCCCGTGGGGTTCACCTCATCCCAAATCTCACCCTGCCCGCTCTGCCCCTSTGCAGCACCTCGAGGTCCGCAAGTACATGGACGCCGACAACATCATGGCCTGGGAGCCGCCTGAGGTGTGTCCCCAGAGGGGACTGTCCCCCTGTGTCCCCCTAAGCTCCCCGGGCGTGCACAAGGTGCCCTGAGCCCRCCGTGCTCCCGCAGGTGATCCGGAAGTACATGTCCGGCGGGATGTGCGGCTACGACCGCGAGGGCAGCCCGGTGTGGTACGACATCATCGGGCCGCTGGACGCCAAGGGGCTGCTCTTCTCGGCCTCCAAGCAGGACCTGCTCAAGAACAAGTTCAGGGACTGCGAGATGCTCCGGCATGAGTGTGACAAGCAGACTGAAAAGGTGGGGACCTGCCCACATCCYGCTGGCCCCACCAGCCCCGTGGGACCACAGCCCTGCCAGCCCCATGTGTCCATATCTGGGGTCTGGGCTGCTTGGTCCCTCCCCAAGGGGACCTCAAATCCTCCAGTCCTGTGCCCCAGCACCTTCCTGTCATCCTGTCACCCACCCCTACCAGTCATCATCCTCCCTAGCCCTACAGGTYCTTGTCCTGTCCATTCTCCTCAGTCCATGTCCCTCCCAGCCCCATAAGCTCATGCCCTGTCTATTCCCACAACTCAATCTTCTCCCCAGCCCTATGTGTCCAGCYCTGGACCATCCCTACCAGCCGATGTCCTCAACAGCTCTATAAATCCTATAGGTCCCATCTGCTGTCCATTCCCACCACTCAATGTCTTCCCCAGCCCCACATGTCCATCTCTGGTCCTTCTCACCAGCCACTGTCCTCACTGGCCAGCCCTATAGGTCCATGTCCAGTCCGCCCCCCTCAGCCCCACAATTCCATGTCCTGTCCACCCCACTACAGACGGTGTCCTTGTCAATCCCATACATCCATCTCTGGCTCATCCCCCCACCCCACAAGTCTGCGCCCTGTCCATATCCCTACCAGTCCACTGTCCCCACTGTCCCTCAGCCCCTGTCCCAGCTTCTGTGATGCCCCTTCTCCCCACACTAACCCTTGGGAGGAGGCTCTGGCTGGGGSGACCACCCCATCCCTGGACTGCCCCATGGGTCCTGCCTGATYCCCCTCATCCTCCTCTCCCAGCTGGGCAAGAAGGTTGAGATGGTGATGATGGTGTACGACTGTGAGGGCCTGGGCCTGAAGCACCTCTGGAAGCCGGCTGTGGACACGTATGGGGAGGTGAGGGCTCCTGCCCACCCCCTTCCTGCTGGACCACAGGGATTGGGGTTGATCCTGGGGATGGTGCAGGAGCAGATCCAGCACCCCACAGTGTTCTGGCGTGGGGTCCTTGTGGGTGCACGGGATGGGTGACCTGAGCTCCCCTGTCCTGCAGCTCCTGTCCATGTTTGAGGAGAATTACCCYGAGTCCCTCAAGCGCCTCTTCATCGTGAAGGGTGAGTTCAGCCCCAGGGTCCYGCTCCCCTTATCTGGGTGCTGACACCCCCCTAACGCCCCCCACTGCCCCCAGCCCCCAAGCTCTTCCCCGTGGCCTACAACCTGGTCAAGCACTTCCTGAGCGAGGACACGCGCAAGAAGGTCGTGGTGCTGGGATGTGAGTCCTGACCCTCCCCGTGGTGTCCCAAACGGGGGTGATGCGTCCCCCCCTGCTGTCACCCTACTCAGGGTGGGGGACACCCCAACCCACAGCCCCCCAAACCTGCTATCCTCCCCCCAGCCAACTGGAAGGAGGTCCTGCAGAAGTACATCGACCCCGCRGAGATTCCCGTGGAGTACGGGGGGACGCTGACGGATCCCGATGGCAACCCCAAGTGCCCCAGCAAGGTAGGAGGAGCCCCCGCTGGGTTTTTTGGGGCTGCTGGGCAGTTCCCCCCACACCTACACCCTCTATCCCCTCCAGATTAACTATGGCGGGGATGTGCCCCAGCACTACTACGTGCGGGACCAGCTGGCGCAGCAGTACGAGCACTCGGTCGTGGTCAACCGGGGCTCGTCGCACCAGGTCGAGTACGAGATCCTCTTCCCGGGCTGCGTGCTCAGGTGAGCGGCGGCTCCGCACCGCGGGGACCGGGCGGGTGGCCGACACCGCGGTGTCCCCGCCCCACCGCAGCACCATCCCTCCGCCCCGCAGGTGGCAGTTCCGCTCCGAGGGCGCTGACATCGGCTTCGGGGTGTACCTCAAGACCAAGGTGGGRGAGCGGCAGCGGGCAGGCGACATGACCGAGGTGTTCCCCAACCAGCGCTACAACGCACACATGGTGCCCGAGGACGGCTCCCTCACCTGCTCCACGCCCGGCATCTGTGAGTGCCGAGCCTTCCCCGGGCTGTCCCCCGTGTCCCCGCCACCCCCGTGTCCCTGACACTCCTGTCCCCCGCAGATGTCCTGCGCTTCGACAACACCTACAGCTTCCTCCACTCCAAGAAGGTGAGCTACAGCGTGGAGGTGCTGCTTCCCGACACCGCCTCTGCCCAGCAGATCCAGGGGGAGTCCCCCAACCACAGCTCCTGAGCTYTCCCGGGCTGCGCCGCGCCCCCAGGATGGCCCCGCAGGAGGATGGAGCTGACGGACTGAGGCGGGGSCCGAGCGGGGCCGGATGGGGCCGAGCTCCCACAGCTCCCCCCCCAAAACCTGTGCCTTATGTGGGTTCCACACCCACCGCTGCTGCTGCCTGGGCTGGGGAGTAAAGGGATGGACTGAGCGGGGTCTGCTCCGGTTTGTGACCCAGAAATGCCCCTGCTGCTCTCCTCAACCCTAAAACCAGCCCAGCTGCCCCCAGCCCCTGAACTGCCCAMAGCCCCCTAATGCCCCCCTCATTCTCATAACTGCGCCTCCCAGTCCCACAATCACCCACCCGCTCCATAACTGCCCCTGCTGCCCCCTCAGCCCCATAASTGTCCTCTAGTTCCCATAACCTCCTCAGCTGCCCCCAGGCACATAAGTGCCCCCTCAGTCTCACAATTTCCCCCCAGTTCCCTAAGTGCCCCCTCAGCCTCCCACCCGCCCCTCCAGACCCGTGACCTTCCCCCCAGCACCATCATTTCTCTCCCAGCCCCACAACTGCACGCCCAGCCCCAGAACTGCTCCTGCTGTTCCCCCCAGCCCCAGAACTGCCCCCTAGTCCCATAAGCACCCCAGCTGCTCCTCCAGACCCATAACTGCCCCTCAGCCCCACAACTGCACCCCCAGCCCCACAATTGCTCCCTCAGCCCCACAACTGCCCACGTGACCGCCGGTGACGCAAGGCCGCGGGGTCACGTGCGCAGCCAGGCCCCGCCCCCAGCGCCATCCGCGACCCAGATGGGCTGGGTTGGTGACGTAGAGTGGTGGGCGGGGATATGCAAATTCAACCGGGAGGGGCGGGGTTTGGTGACGTAGGTCGGGGCGGGGCATGCGGCGGGAGCGGTGGCGCGCGCCATGGGGCAGCGGGAGCCCGACCTGTACCGGGACACGTGGGTCCGATACCTGGGTGAGCACCGGGAACCGGCACCGGGCACCGACACTGAGCATGAACCCCGGGAACCGGCACTGACCCCGGGAACCGGGTACTGACCCCGGGAACGGGCACTGACATTGAGCGCTGACACCGGGAAGTGGGCTCTGACATTGGGTGCAGAGCGCTGACACCGGCTGCCGGGAAAYGGGCACTGTCATCCGGTACCGGGTACCAGCACCGGGCACAAACACTGGGTACAGGCACCGGGAACCGGGCATTGACATTGGGCACTGACATCAAATACCGGCACTGGGACATTGGGCACGGATATCGGGTACCGGCAGCACGAACAGCGGGCACTGACACTGGGTACGGGGCACTGCCATCGGGGACCGGCAGCACAAACAGGGCACAGTGATACCGGGCATGGCCCCCATCACAGGGAACCGGCACCGGGAACTGGGTATTGACAACGGGTACTGACCCCAGGAACTGGGCAGCGATGTCAGGCGCTGGGCACAGCACCGGACACTGGTACTGGGTACCGACGTCAGGCACCACCCTGGGTACCGGGCACTGACACCAGACACTGCGTCGGGTACTGGGGCACCAACACCATGCACCAGGCACTGCACTGCCCTGGGCACCGACACCCAGAACTGGGCACCAACACCACGCACCAGGCACTGCACTGCCCTGGGCACTGACACCCAGAGCTGGGCACCAACACCACACACTGCACTGCCCTGGGCACCAGCACCCGGAACTGCCACTGACACCCAGCACTGGTACCACAGCACACTGTGTCTGTGATACTGGGCACGAAGCACCGGGCACCGGTCACTGCACCGGGCACTGATACAGGGCTCTGGTACCAGGTAACAGCACTGAGCACGAGCACTGCACAGCACACAGGGTGACAGCACTGCACATCARCATCAGGGACCTGTCACTGTCACCAGCACTTGTTCTGGGTGGTGGCACCATCCACCAGCACCTTCACGGGGTACCAGGACCAGTTAGGGGCACTGGTCATAGATACCAATACCAGAAGTGGGCACGGTCACTAGCACTGGGCACCAGTCACAGACACCAGTACTGGCTCCGGTCACCCCCAGCCCAAGTGGGTCCAAAAACACCTGGGTGCTCTGAACATCCCCCATGCAGGATCCATCCAGTGACACTGTGACAGCCTGGGAGGGTGACACAGCCGGTGCCTGACCCTGCCGTCCCCCCAGGTTACGCCAACGAGGTGGGCGAGTCCTTCCGCCCGCTGGTGCCAGTGCCGGTGGTGTGGGCCAGCTACGGCGTGGCCACCGCCTACGTGACCGCCGACGCCATCGACAAGGGTCGCAAAGCCGCCACTGTGAGTGCCACCCCCTCCTCACCTCCCTGGCCGCTCCCTCCTCACCTTCTGCTGACCCCCACGTCCCCCCAGGTCCATGCACAGGACCCCATGCGGGTGGGGGTGGCCGTGGTGGACACCTTCGTGTGGCAGAGCCTGGCCTCGGTGGCCATCCCCGGCTTCACCATCAACCGGCTCTGCGCTGCCTCGCTGGCCCTGCTGGGCTCCCTGACCCGCTGGCCCCTGTCCGTGCGCCGCTGGACCACCACTGCCCTGGGGCTGGCTGCCATCCCCCTCATCATCACCCCCATCGACAGGTAATGGGAACAGGGGACACCCCTGGGGCGGGGGGACAGGCGGGTGCCACCACCCCACCCCCACAGGGACGGAGCACGTTTGTTTCCTCCTTGGAGACTGGTCCCAGTATGGGCTTGTGGCTGGGAGCASAGGGTGCTGATGGGATGTGTCCACTCCAGAGGGGCTTTGCTGGGGTCCAACCAGGACATGTCCCTGCCAGGGTGGGGATTATCCGGAGCTGAGCCAGGATTAGCACGGTGAGGCTGTGCTAAGCCTGGTTTTGGTGGCACTGCTGTCTCAGGGATATTAAGGACAGCCCCACCCATCCCACATCACATCCAATGCCCCAGAGACCCCCCCGGGACCCCACTGATGCCCTCTCCTGCATCCACAGGACTGTGGATTTCCTGATGGATTCCAGCCTCCGCAAGCTTTATGGGAAACCCGGAGAGCCCCCAGCGTCCCACTGAGCACCGCCCCRCGCACTCTGGGGAAACTGAGGCATGCTGCTGTGACCCACCTACTGTGACTCCACACTCTGGTGCCCCCCGGAGTGGCCACCCTGGCCCACACTGGTCCTAATAAACCATTTCAAACATGACTCCTGATGGGTGATGCTGAGGTGCCACTACAGCCAGGCCATGTCCTCTCTTAGGCGACAGGTGGGTGCCAACCTCTCGGGGGTTCTCCATACCCTAGGATAAGCGGTCTCTACCTGCCCAGAGCAGCCCTGCTGGCTCCACCCTGGAACATCTCCACAGCCTCATGGGTCATCCTGGGGATTGTCCCCAAGGAGCTGCCACCATGTCCGTGGTGTCCAGGGACCCAAAATGCCCCCAGCCAGGAGCCACCAGCACAGGCTGGGACAGTGCCACAACACCTGGAAGCCACATCCTCAGGTACCTGGAGGAACCTGGAGGAACCTGGAGGAGATGTGGCTCACCAGTGTAGTGGCACATCCCCATCTCTTGGTGGCATCCACACGCTACCACCAGGAGAAGCTTTAGCTAACACAAAACCACATTTATTGGGAAGTGAGGGGTTCTGGTGCCGCCTCACCCTGTTTCCCGCTCTCCCTGAGGGCCAGGGCCCCCACCACACTCTGCAGCTCGGCCTGGAAGGGACACGTCTGCCTCGGTGGCCGCTGTCCCCGCTGGGGTCTGCCCAGGTGCCGGGTGGTCAGGGCCAGCCCCAGCAGTGCCCCCAGCACGGTGATCACCACCACAGCACTGCCCACCAGGGCCAGCCCGGCCAGCAGGAACCTCTTCAGCATCTGGCACTGTYCTGGGGATGGCAAAAACATGCCTGGGGGTCAGAGGGGGCTTTGGCACAAGGGGTGGGGGGTTTGAGGACATGGGAGAGGGTTGGGGTGTCCCTCACCTTCGTACCATGGCGCCTTCTCCTTCTGCACCAGCACAGGTCCAACTGTCTCCCGGTGCAATGTCCCCTCTCCTGGGAATGCTGTGGGAGGATATGTCCAGTTCAGCCCATCCCAGCTCCAGCAGCCCTCCCTAGAGCCCAGGACAACATGAGGCCACCCTGTCCCACCCCCAGTACCTGGCGTGTCTCCACGGARGGTGTCACCAGGGGGACAGCCGGTGTCACAGCAGTGGCACAGGGCGCTCCATGAGGGGTCCTCTGCATTGTGCCAGCTGGGAGAGGAGAGGACAGAGCTGGGGRGTGGCTCTAGGGGTCTCCAGGCTMCACCCAAGACCCACATAGTGCCACYCCAGAGATGTCTCCAAGCACCTCCCCAAAACATCTGCACCATCAGGGAGCTGGGACCTGTGGTGATGCCACCAGCTGCCATCAAATACGAGGTGGCACCCAGCCCACAGTGGCCCTCAGGTGGGTCCCCACCCTAGAAGTGGGTTCTGCCCCCAGCACAGCCAAGGGGTGCTCATGTCCCAGGGCACTCAGTGTACCTGGCTGTGGTGTGGCTGTAGAAGCAGGAGYGGGTGGCACGTCCTTGTCCCCGCACCGTCAGCAGGCAGTGCACATAGACCTGCTGAGACACCACATCAGTCCTTGGGGACCCTGCTTGCCTGCCACCCGACCTCATGGGGCTGAGGCCACCCCAGCAGGAGCAGAATGTCCCAGGAGGGACTCCCAGGTGATTCCCCTCCCTGGGACCRCCATCCCACCACCAAGGGCATCATCCTGACCTCACCTCCTCCTTGTTGGGCTCACCCTCCAGCGTCGGGGCCGGGATGGAGAGCCGGAGGACAGACCTTCCTCTCTGGTGCTGGACAGACACATTCCCCAGCTTCTCCCCATGCAGGCACCTGTGGCAGGAGAGTGGCACAGGGACATCTCAGGGCTGTCCCCAGCCTCTGGACATCCCAACAGGAGGTCCTGCAGGACCCCAGGGTGCCTGGAGAAGCCTCCACCTCCTGCCCCAGCAGCACTGACCCACGGCTGTTCACCACCATGAAGATCCTCCTGGAGTGTCCTGGCTGCTCCAGGGTGGTCCCATAGCACTGGTCCAGGTGGATCTTCAYGGACATGCTGGGACTGAAGTGGACACTGGCTTCCAGGTGGATCATGGAGCTGGGGCTGAACACTGGCATCTTCTCCATGGTGCTGGAGTCCTCTGAGGAGGAGTTTAGTGGGTTAAATGTGACACCCCCTAGCCTGTCCCACTAGGGACAGGGACACCAGACATATCCCAGACCTCCACCCACCAATGTCTTGGACACCATCCCTGCAGCTCCCCCATTTCAGAGCCCACCTCCTGTCCTGGCTCTGCCGCCCAGGCCTGCCCTCCCCGCTCTCCAGAGCTCCAGCAGCTTCGTGTATCCTCCTGTGGAGCTGAGAGGGACCATGTCACCCAGCAGGGGCAGAACTGACCCCCAAACCCCACTGTGGTATCAGGCACAGGACTGGGAACATCTCAAAGCCCCACCATGTAAAACCCCACACCCTCCAGGAGCTCAGGGCAAAGCTCCTGCRGGGACCTTTCCTGGTGGTCCTAAAGCTGGGGACAGCCAGGAGAAGGCACTGGCTGCTGCTGGTCAASCCCAAGGATCATGACTAGACCCATCCTGTGCTCTCAGAGTTGCTCCCCAGCACCCCCAGGGCACTCACCATCCAGGAGCCTCAAGGTGAAGTTCATGATGGGCTCCTCAGAGCTGGARTGAGCAGGAACCACCCCTGTCCCAATACCTGAGGACACCACTGGAGCTGTCACCACATGACCAAAGGGCTCTGAGACAGCTGGAGCCATGGTGGGCCCTGCAAGGGGAGGGCTGAGCCAGCAGCAGTGTGTCCCAGACACAGCAGGGACATCCAGGTGCTCAAGTGTCCCCACAACTCACTGAGGACGGGCAGCAGCAGCACAAAGGCAGGGAGAGCACCCAGAAGCACATCAGGGACTCCTTTGTCCCCAGCCCCATCCCAGCAGGAATTCACCTGCACATCAGGAGCATTCCCAGCACCATGACCCTGACCAGGAGCTGCTCACGGGGTGGGACAGCACTGCCAACAGCCACAGATGCCACCAGGGCCTCTGATCCCTCCCACCCCAACCAGGTCCCACCAGCCCTGCTGGCACCTGGGGGAGCTCCTGACAGCCCCAGCCCCCAGAGCTTGGGGTCATTTTAGGAAGGTTCCTCTCCCCCAGGACAGCCTGCACCAGCAGTTCCAGGTGACCACCAGGAACCAGCACTGGACAAAGCAAGGGGCACCCACCAACCTGGTGGGGGGACTCAAGGGGGTCCCAGTCCCACTCACCTGCCACCCCCAGCACAGCCCCACACACCAGCACCAACCAGCACAGCTCCATCCCCAGGGAGCAGCATCCCCACCCCCCCCAGCTGGGGGGCTTTAAGGACATGGGGCTGGGTGTGAACGGGCCCCAGCTGGCACTGATGGGCATGGGGGCTTTGCTGGATCTCTGCAGCCACCAGCAGCTCCACACCTGGGGCTGGTCCCATCCCTCACACCTGCCCAGTCCCACCACAAGGCTCTGTGTCCATCTCCCAATTCCCATTCCATCCCATAGTCCCAGTGCCACCACTCAGACTGGTCCTGCAGGTACTCCTGARCATGATTCCATAGCAGTTAGTCCTAGTCCTATCCTTGGTGCTGGTCCTACCATGTCATTGTCGTAGTCCTGGTCCTCAGCAAGGTCCAGATCCCACAAGGTCCCATCCCACCAGTTAGTCTGGTCCTGTGAATGGTGCTGGTCCCTCTATGTCCTTTTAGTCCTGCACATAATCCTGATCCAAGCAGTTTGCCCTGGTCCCAGTTGACTGCATAGTCTGGTCCCAGTTCACCGAATGGTCTATTCCCATCATTCAGCCTTGATCCCATGGATGTTCCTGGTCCTACCTGATGGTCCTGCACATGGTCCCAGCGTGCCAACATTTTGGACTCCACCACTGTCACAATCCCATGGATGATCCCGGTGTCACCAAGGTCCCAGTCCCCAGTGGCCTTCCTTGTCCCATCATAGTCCTGCTTCCAGCTCTCCAGGACAGGAAGCCCACCCGGGAGCAGCAGTTTGGTCACAGCCAGTACACAGGCCTGGTCAAGTGCTTGCTTCCCTTGAGTCCAGCCTGTCTCAGGTGTCCCCAACCACCCCATCACTGCCCCAACACCCCACCACATCTCCTTGGAGTGGACTGACCTGGTGGCCTGGGCGCAGAGGGACGGGGAGTGTGGAGAAGTCCCAGTGCCAGTCCCATGGCCAGCCCTGAAATGGGGTACCCCCATCAGCAGTGGGTCAGCAGTGGGACATGGTGGCACGAGTGGCTTGTGTCACCAGTGATGGCTGCATATGGCTCTGGTGTCCCTGTGAAGCCAGCAGACCTTCCTGGGGGCACCTGCACCCCGTGGGAGTGTCCCCCAGCACCCAGCAGGGACACAGGGGACAGACCCAGGTGCCCTACTCCCATTGGGGGTCTCATTCCTCAGCACTGCACATGAGGCTCCCCACCCCCAGGACTGATGGGGACAGCAGAGCCGGGACCCTGGGGGCTGCCAGGCCTCCTGCAGGAGGAGCAGGAATGCTCATGTCATTGGCTGAGCATCCTGCTGTGGCTGTGTGGACATCCCCACCCCATCCATCTCATCCCGGAGAAGAAGGCGATGGCTGGAGAACAGCTGGACCATCCTTATATTAAAAACTGCCAAATACACAATTATATTACAAAAGTATATTGTTTTTTTTATTCCTTGTCCTTACAGAAGGAGCTTAACACGGATGGGAGACAAGAGGGTCCCTTTGCTGCGGGGGAGGCTCAGCCACAGGTGCCACCTCTGTGCCCGGCCAGGGCCACTCTCAGCAGGACGCGGTGTCACCGGTGTCATCCAGCCCAGCTGGGACGCACGAGGTTTGTCCCCAAGGCAGGGTAGGGACTGGGGATGGCCCCTGCCCTCGGCATCCCTGCCCTGCCTGCGATGGCATCATGGGGACGGTCCCACCGCACCCAGTCCCATCTTCTCCCCAAGCCAGTTGTCACCAGACCCCGTTGGCCTTTTGGGATGTCCCCTGTGGGGACCAGGGCCACGGGCCCCTCTAACCAGGATATTGGGGGGGTGGGGAGGGGGTGCCCTTTGCCCATGGGGACCTGTTCATAAATACCAGGGCTTT